GGATAGCCATGTTTCATTTATTATAAAGCAAATAACCTAACCAAATAGTTGTGGGATGACACAATTTTCCTTTCATAATATCCTAACTACTCCAAATACTCCTGAAACTAGAGCGCATATATCAATTATGCATATCTTTTCATAAAAGTGAAGGATTCCCTAAACAATACTTATTAAAAAAACATCATTGTTTTTGGCACTAAGTAGTTCCTTTTTCCAATCCTCAATAGCTTTAGCAACAATGCTATCACAAATTCTTGAAACTCATTTGACATAAGTTGTGTTCACCTCATCCTGTACCTAGCTCAATACTATGATTATAAAGGGTACTTTGGATATCAAGTTAAATAACACACAATTTTCTAATTTATTTATTTATATTATAAAAGAAGCATATAAATGTCCTAAGAATTTTATTTAATAGCACATGCGTTTTCCATTATTTGGATATGAAAATTGGATGAATAGATTCTAACAATTGCAATAGAAGTCATTTTCAAACAAATGAATGTGCACAATCTAATAGTGGAATTGATGTATAATAAATTAGCACTTAGCACCTAAATGCTGCTTGTTGCATATCCTACGCTCAAATGTTTCTAACGAGCGCTCTAGCATAATACAATACGCTAATCCTTCTTTTCCTAATGATTTGCTTCAACAATGTACTCATGGTAGTCATTGATAGCCAAACAAGTGAAATTAGTTACAAATATTCCTCGTACGTTGTTCCTTAACCAGAAATGGTATAAAGATCTTTTACACATTTGATATTTGAAAAAAGAATTCAAAAATCTAATAGTATTATAAATGTGTGTTAGTATGTTAAAATATTTCTTCCAAAAAAACCCTAAAACACGCATACATAAAACACATGCATGCATAAATCATAAATCATATCCCTTCAACATACGTACATACATAACATGATAAAGACAATAATAAACAGAAATCTACCAATCTCAATCTCAGATCTCAAATAAATAAGAAAATTATAGAAAATGAAGATAAAGTTTACATGTCTATCAAAGTGTGAGCTCAAGCTTCGGCGTCTTGTGTCGTGGCTCAACAACCTCCATGTGAAATTTTACTGTTTGAAATATACTAATATAAAGTTATGCTTGCCGTTATAACTCTCTGACATGCTTCATCTACAACACAATCACCATTCCCTCTTAGCTATCAAATATATGAGTCCTTCTATAAGCAAAACCTAAAGAAATTCCTATCTCATTGCAACCTAAATTTACAGCTATTATTGATCTCTATGTAACTTATTTATTATTACTATGCAAGCAAAAGGAAATCAAACAGGAATGCATTTAGTAGGTGAAAATAGGTTTTATTGGTAAAGTATTTATTTATTCCATTTACTGAAAAAATTATGTTTAAGCAACATAAATTTTTGGAGAAAATTATGCCCGAGTTTCACGGGACATTGACTGAATATATTATTTAACATTTCAAATTATTAGACATTTTTATTAATGGTAGTATTATTAGACATTTTCATTAAGGAAAAACGGTTATGGAATCAAATAAGCTTACCAAATAAGAATAAGTAGAGAGAACAGAAACGTTTAAATAATGGAAATATTATTTGGCGTTTCATTACCAAAAAAATCGGTTATGGGTCAAATACCATATAAATCTATTCCATACAATTTTAATCTTACCAAAGAAAAAGAATAGAGAGCAAAGGATGAAGAAGCAAAAAAATCGATTCAAAGAGGTTAGTAAAAAATATTTATTTTAAAGATATTATGGTACTTTTCCATAGATAAATTAAAAAATATCAAATGGCTTGAATATATGAGAAGATATTATAAGAATTTTCTTGATTCTTACCTAAAATAAAACTGTATGTCTAATCATTCATTAAATCATAGTAAGTTCATAAGATAGTAAATTCAAGCGCAAATTCTCTCAATAGTAGGTGCATATTCGATTTATTAGATATAAGTAGATGCATGTATTTATTTATTTATTTATTTTTATTTAATAAACTTAATGCTAAATTTTAAGAAATGTACAACATTAAGTATTTGCTTAAAATTAGCAGATCTTGCCAAGAATTCTTGAAGATAAATCTCTCTACCATGCACTACTTATATATATTTTCCTGCGTAAGCATAGCTCTCATGGTGTTACACTTGTTTTCATGTAGACGAGTGTTCAAATTTTAATTCATTGTTTACTTATAATTACTTTAGTTACAAATTTATATTAATTTTATGTAATTGTTGTGTCCATATGTATGTCATCATTCATAGTAAGTTCATAAGTTAGTAAATTCAACTGTACAGACTCTCTCAATAGTAGGCGCGTATTCAATTTATTATATATCAATAGGTGTATTTATTTATTTATTTTAATAAACTTAATGCTAAATGTTAAGAAATGTCCAACACTAAATATTTGCTTAAAATCAACAGATCGCGCCAAGAATTCTTGAAAATAAGTCTCTCTACCATGCATTTATACCTGTTTTTCTATGTAAGCTTAGCTCTCATAGTGTTGCACTTAATTTCATGTAGAGGATTGTTCAAAAATTTAATTCATTAATTCCTTATGATTACTTTAGTTACAAATTTATATTAATTTTATGTAATTGTTGTGATCATTTGTATGTCATCAACATAATGAACATCCACTTGTCCTAATGCATGATGCATATAGATTGTAAAGTAACTCACACATTCTCAACTCTCATCATGAATTAGTACGTGCCCATAGATAATAACAACAACTACAACAATAACAGAATCTAAGTGTGATTTAAAGTCAATTTTTATTTGATTTGATTTATTTATTTCTTATTCTTAATGTTATTGTTTGTTCTTTTTCTAAGATGAAGGATGTCATCTAAATCAAGATGGATTTAAAGACCAATCACACATCCTAATCCGAGAGTTAAAAGATTTATCAAAAGTAATGGAGCATAAAAGTTTGCATTATAGAATTTTGTAGACTCCTTTAAAGATGGAGATGAGAAGATGCAGAAGTTGATTCTAATTGATGAAGAGGTGATGTGTACATTGTTATTATTCCATATAGTTTGACCTTAGCATAGTGACTTGATTTTTTTCCATCATGCCATTTGCGGGGAATACTTATCCCAACAATTATATTTAATAAGCTGATAGAAAAGTTTAAGGTTCTATTGATAAAGGGAGAAACATATACTATTACAAAGGGAGAAGTAAAGCCTTCAAATTTGAAAATTCCAACAATCAATCCAGATAAGGAGTTAGCTCTAACATCAAAGACAATTGTTCGAGAAAACAAAACCTTTATAACGTTGGAGAACTTGAAACCAACATTCTTTCATTTAAAGACTTGCTTCTGGATTTGATGATGGCAAAAACACTTTTGATAATATCAAAAATAAATTTTATGGTATAAAGGTCTGTACATCTTTTTGTATATATATATATATATATATATATATATAAGCTTCGTAATGACTATGAAGCCAATATTTGTCAATCCCACCCTCAAAAGAAGAAAAGTATTAATCATGAATAAAGAGTAAGAATTTAACATTGCTATCTACTACTATGTACGAATTATTGGGAAAAACTAATATTTTTTATTTTTTAAAGGATTGACCAACTATTAGTGATATTATGGGGTGCTTTAGCGGAAATTGAAGGATCTTTGGAGGATTTGAAATATGTGAAACCCATATAAGCTTCGTAATGACTATGAAGCCAATATTTGTCAATCCCACCCTCAAAAGAAGAAAAGTATTAATCATGAATAAAGAGTAAGAATTTAACATTGCTATCTACTACTATGTACGAATTATTGGGAAAAACTAATATTTTTTATTTTTTAAAGGATTGACCAACTATTAGTGATATTATGGGGTGCTTTAGCGGAAATTGAAGGATCTTTGGAGGATTTGAAATATGTGAAACCCATTGCTACATTGTTAAACATAATTGAAGGTTGTTATTTAGGTAAGAAGAAAATATAACAAGTATGGTTTTAAAATGATTAAAATATCATTTAATTTTATCTTAGGTTTATTATTAGGTGAGCTTCAATTGTCTACGAAGCCATCAACTCTTGTGATTGTGAATCCTAATGTTCCACATACAGAAAGTATCATTGCAATATGCACTTACGATCTACATATAAACATGAAAATAGGTACACGTGCATCAAACATGAACCACACTAGTTAAAATAAAAATCACCAACACCAATATTTCTCTTTTAAGGAAAGACCTGATGATATTCTCCCATATAGCATGAAATAAATTAAGCATGTACTGAAAATATGCCACCATTATCATGATAAAAAATCACCAAAACAAATTATTATTGCTACCTTTGAATCTAATACATACTTTCTCGGGAAAATTCATTGTCAAAATATTTTATGATGGTTGATTATTCTCACAGGTTCTTCTACTATCATGTTGTCCGGGGTTCACATTTAAGATATAACAAGGGATAAAAAGCCTGACAATTGAATACACCAACCCCAATTCTATTATACACAGGAATGCACGCTAAAAAGAATATGCAAACAAAAAAAAAAGTTATCACGTGTGAACATTTTCTAGGAAATTAAACAAAAAGGGTGTGTTTGACTAGAAGTAGTTGTGGCAAAAATGCGATTACAACTTGTAGCTCCAACTTTTGTTGTTAGGACTTGGAAACACTCTTCAAATTGAATGGAACAACAAGCTCCCCTATTTTGGCCTATTTAGTTTTTGCAACAACCTTTTGGTGTTGCAATAATACTCAACAAAACATGTATGTCGAGATTTGGAGGTAACTCAAACATGGAACTCTAACTACTCCTGCACAAACACACTAAAAGGAGGAAGTCAACTATCAAACCCGCTGGACCATTTGGGATAACACAACTCAAATTCAATATTTTCAATGCACCCCAAGAGAACAAACATAATCAATTCATTTGTAGCTTACGTAAATGAAAAGCATCAGTACGTCACAAAAATTTTGCATCAAAATTCAACAACCTTACCCCCTACCCTCAGCGCATCCCCCTGCTGCTGTTGAGGATGGACCCTAGCGTGCCGAGAACAGCAAACGCCAGCAACGGGCTGACGTCCAGCGTGTCAAACACCGGCGGGATAATGTTCCTGAACAAATTCAAGTAGGGATCGCAGAGGATCCCTAGATGGCGGACAGCGGGCTGCGCCTGTCCGGGATGATTAGGGAACAGCTGAGCAAGAACCTGACCATGAGCACCCCGTGTGAGATGTCGAGGCCTTGGCCATGACCGGAGGCGACGAACGGTGGAGGGGCGGGGTGTTGAGGTAAGCCGTGGGGCGGTCGCGGAGGGCGGATAGAGAGGGGGCCGGAGAGCGAGAGGCGTGGGAGACTTGGGAAGGGGGAGGGTTGGAGCGACGCGGTGGAGGAGGAGCCTGGCGAGGGCGAAGAGGAGGCTAGGGTTCGGAGTGGAGGAGAAGCGAGAAGAGCGGGTCGCTTAGGATTGGGGATTTGCAGGGACGGGTTTGCGGGCTTGAGGCAGGGCTAGGGTTCGGAGGGCAGAGGCAGACGGGAAGGCGGGGAAGTGGCGAACGGATTAGGGAAGCGGATGAAGGCGGCGGAAGGGAGGGGACGGCGAGGTGGGCGGGGGCGAGAGGACGGGGGAGGAGGAGGAGATTCAGGGCGGAGGAGACGTGGCGCGCGCAAATTACATTGGAGGAAGCGTCTGAGAGCTAGCAGAGAGGAGAGGTTTGGGGGGGTAGAAAGAGAGAGAGAGAGACGAGAGAGAGAGATAAAGCGGAGATATTAAAGGAGAAAATTTGTGCGAAGGCCCCAGAAAATAAACCCGCACTGTTCACGTGTTGTTTAGCCCAAAAAAGATCTAACAAAATATGGTCCAGCCCAAAAAGCCCATATCTATGTATGTTTATTTTCCGAAATTATCCTCTTCATACGATAAATACGAGGCGACGGCAAAAATGGACAAAAAAAAAAAAAAAAAAAAGGGTTCTCTATTAATGCTCTCTCTCATCTTCTATTATCTATTTTATCATTTACCCTCTTTTATGACATTAGAGTTTTGTTCTTCAAGTTTTTAACAACCCTTCTTGTCCTAAAAATTCCCTCAATTGCTCCTCGTAACTTTCCTTCATATTAATGGCCGCCAATGGCCTCATTTGCATGGTGCCCTCAGCCGAGAAAGCTGTATTCTCAATGTTAAATTCTACAACGAGCCATTTTAAACTGAAATTGGATGCGTCTGAAATACTGGAAGTTCTTCAGAATGCTTTATCGTTAATGTATAAATCTGAGAGACACCCGGATCTGAGTTTTGTAATTGAGAGTGAAGATGATTTGAAGTGTATGGTGGAGCATAATCGAAATATTGGTTGTATGGAGAATTCATACGCAAACTATTGTTGATATAGAGGGTTCTACTTCTCGGGAAAAAAAAAGCATAAAGTTCTAACTAAAATGTAAGTAATCATTAACCTTTTATTAAAACTAGGTTTTGTGTGATGTAAGCTTTGAGCTTTTAGGTTTCATACTATAGACACATCATAAATGTTAACTTTAATCGTTACATATTAACTATTATTGTCGTTTGTTAACTATCACAGCTATCTGCTAACTTTCACATGAACCAGTTAACTATTCCTATCATCTGTCAATTATCACAGTTATCTGTTAACTTTCACATGAACCTATTAACTCTTCATGTCGTCTGTTAACTATCACGGTGACATGTTAACTCTCATATGAACCTATTAATCTTCACGATCACATGTTAATTTTATAGTTGATTTGAATCTGATTGGTTTCTCAATTTGTACAACGGTGATACTTCTTTGAATTTAGAATATAATCATATTGCTCTAAGAAGTACTCCTGATTCAGACAGTATCCCAAGTGATTATCCATCTAGTGAGAATATAATGAGATCAGATGACATTCTCAACAACACTTCCATCATTTCACAACGGTGGCACATAGGATTAGCCGAAAATGGTCAACAATTTGAAAGCGTAAATAAATTAAGACTAGCTTTGCAACACTATTCTATGGCAAAAAAATTTAATTATGAATTTGCAAAAAATAAACCCAAACATATTCAAGTTTTTTATTGATATAAGGAAACATATGGATGCCCTTGGATGTTGTTTGTCTCTCCTGTTAAAAATAAAAAAATAATTTCTATTAAAAAGATTATGTACGAGCACAGTTGTGGACAATATAGTAACTTGTTAGGTAGATCACGGGCATCTCATAAATTCATAATAGCCTAATTACAACCCGTGTTAAAGGTTTGGCCCAGAATCTGCTCCAATTGATGTGCAAAAGGTGTTTCTCGCTCAGTATGGATTGAGGATTGGCTACAGTAAGATATAGTGGTGGTAAAGAAAGAGCACAAGAGGAATTGTATGGTGATAATTATGAGTCTTACGATCAACTAAAATGGTAAAAGTTACAGATTTGTTACTAAATATACAAATTTTTATAGCAGACACTTAAAGTACAATGTTAGATGTTGGTTTACTCAGCAATATATTACTTTACAGGTTGGATATTACTTGTCATGGATACTTGCTAACTTTCACCTTCGGTCGTTAATTATAAGTGAATTCTGTTAACTATAAACAGTGTCTATCGGTTATCATAGTTAGATGTTAACTTTATAAAATATTTGTTATTTTTGATCAAATGTATATTTATTAAATTGATATTTCTTGAAACTTATGTATAGGTATGAGCACATGGTAAAGGAAACAAATCCAGGCAGCTACATTTGCATTGAATAGAATGAATGGAGGTTCACAAGACTCTTCATTTGTTATGCTGCTTGCATCAATGGTTTCTTAAATGGATGTAGACCTCTATTATTTTTGGATGAGATATTTTTGAATGACAGATACAAATGCATACTCCTTAGTGCCATAGCATATGATGGAGATTAAGGGATATTTCCACTAGCTTACTGCATAATGAGATCAGAAAAATTTAGCTAATTGGAGATGGTTCCTATAAGGGTTGTGGTCCATATTATATGAAAGGTCTAACCCATATAATCCAATCCACCAATTAGTTATAATTTTTGATGTCGACAAGAGAATTCGAGAAACTATGAAAGAATATTTTCCTGAAGTAATTCATTCAAGATGTTTCTATATTTGGTTGAAAACTTTATATTAAAGCTAAAAGAGTTGGGAATAAAGTCAAACTCAAGTGTTAGGGAATTTGCCCTGATTTGCTTATTACAGATACACTAAGGCGTAATGAAATGATTATATAAAAGAAATTTATGAGATATCTCCAACAGCATATGACATTGCAATTAAGTATTCTCCAGAGCAGTGGGCAATCTTATTCTTCCCTGAAATTAGGTGTTGTTGATGTCAGTTATCAAACAAGAGGTTATCTGAGAGTTTGTGGAGTGATTAGGGGTCCTCTAGCTCCTCCTGATGAAAGGTTCTGGGGCTTGTTGTTCTTCCCTACATATGAAAGAACTCTTAAGAGGGCGAAGTTGGGTTCCTCGTTTGTTCCTCCAATGATCAAGTCAGTAGATGATCTTGAGTGGAGAAATATATAATTAACTCTTGGTTATGTAAAAAAAACCAGAGAGCTACCTCATGCAAATGCCGCTTCTTTTATTATGGATCTTGAGGGGCAAGAAGGTAACTTGAGCCGAGTCCAGCTAGGCAGTTGAGTCGGCAGACATGTGCTACATGTTGGTTGCTGAAGAAGGTGAGTCACCTGGTCATTTATTGCAGGAATGACAACATGTGTTTTGGTGTTGATTGGGTCCGATTAGCCATAAAGACTATAGGGGCTAGGGTAATAATGATGTTACTAGGACAGTTAATGCGAGAGTAGTTGGCTGGCGAGGAATTCGAGATAACTATCATTTTTTGACTCATCAGGTCCAGGGCCAAGAGGTACCGCCTTTTGACTCGGCTACGTGAGATGTCAGCTGAACAGTGAGCTGAGTCATGTCACTTAAGGAATCAATTGAGGGGTTGGCCGAGTAGTACTGCTTTTTTACTCGATCACATGAGATGTCGGCCAATCAAGTCGGCTGCGCTGAGCCAGATGTGTAGGCGTCTAAAAATGCCTATAGGTGTCCGCACACAGCTCGAGACGGAGAGAAGACAACAAACGTCGTTATCCGAGTCTAAGAGGATTATCTGTCGCTGACAAGCGCATGAAGCGAAACGAAGAGTCAATCAGCTCGCGCGCATCAATCAACGCGCGCCCAACAATCAACTCGCGCGCGTCGGTCAAAACGCGCGCGTCGGTAAACTCGCGCGGAACGTACGAGTCAACAAGACGATCAAATACGCAAAACGGTGGAAAATACAAGTCCCGGAAGAGCCGGAAAACACAAAAAATCAGCGAAGCCAAACTCCCAGCGCACCGCGCAGGACGGACCAAACCGACCCGCGCCCGTACGGGTCGGATCCGTCCGACCCGCGCAAGCGCGGGTCAGATTCGCCCCCACGCGCTGTTTCGACCCATGTTCGGTTTTTGACAGTTTTTGACGGTTTTTCTCGGGATTTATTCGTTCCTGAGCATCCAAACTGATCTGATATCATCCCCAAACGTTGTTAATCAGTTATTAACTGAATATAAGAAGGAATCATTCATTCTCATCCGAAACCCCCCGAACCGAAGCCTATAAATACAGGCCTAGGGCTCATTTCACAGGGGTGGAATTATTATAAAGAGGACGAGGTGCTACCGGATTAAGGAGTCAAAGTAGCACGAATTTCAGCAAGGGTTGATAGATCTTAGCGAGTTTTTCAGCATAAAGAAGGAGAGTTCGAGAGATCCGAAGCCCGTTTCCTCCATTTCCTTGAGATCAGGCTTGGTCTTGATCTCGAGAAGAGTGCTGATTTCACTTGGTCGATCTCAGCACTTCAAATCAAATACTTCCTCCACGAAGGTGAAGCTCTGCTGAATTTTCCATCAACCGGATCCGATCCATAGGCGGTCCACGGATAAACCCCGGCACAGGCAAAGATCCGACCCGCGCCCGTACGGGTCGGATCCGTCCGACCCGCGCAAGCGCGGGTCAGATTCGCCCCCACGCGCTGTTTCGACCCATGTTCGGTTTTTGAC